AGGTTGATAAAAGGCAGATAAAAGGTTGATAAAGGTTGATAAAAGGCTGATAAAAATGATAAAAGGTTGATAAAAGGCTGATAAAAATGATAAAAGGTTGATAAAAGGCTGATAAAAATGATAAAAGGTTGATAAAAGGCTGATAAAGGTTGCTAAAAGGCTGATAAAAGGCAGATAAAACAATGATAAAAGGTTGATAAAAGGCTGATAAAGGTTGATAAAAGGCAGATAAAAGGCAGATAAAATGCTGATAGAAGGCTGATAAAAGGCTGATAAAGATTGATAAAAGGTTGATAAAAGATTGATAAAAGGCAGATAAAAGGCTGATAAAAGGCAATTAAAGTTAAAAGGCAGATAAAAGGCTGATAAAAGGCAATTAAAGTTAAAAGGCAGATAAAAGGCTGATAAAAGGCAATTAAAGTTTAAAGGCAGATAAAAGGCTGATAAAAGGCAATTAAAGTTAAAAGGCAGATAAGGCAGATAAAAGGTTGATAAAAGGTTGATAAAGGCTGATAAAAAGTTGATAAAAGGTTGATAAAAGGCTGAGAAGGCGACTACTGACTTTTCATTTTTAAATCACTTCTTGGTCTGCTGCCTTCATACATCTCCTCCTACATATCTCTGTGTGAGTGCAGCTACAGCGTGCGCTCTCAGGACATTATTACCTGCAGTGTTCCCTCAGTGAGGACTGAACTAGACAAAAGGGTCTTCTCCTACTCTGCTCCTGTTTCCTGGAATAGCTTACAAAAAGACCTGAAGCTCTTGACCTTGACCTCTGTAAGTGGCTTTAAACATCTGCTAAGTTCCTGGGAAAAATCAACACAGACATGTTGCTGTTTTTAGTTTTCTACACCACCTTACAATCAATCTGTTTTTGTTTCGTTTTATAACACCATTTTCTTTCATTTGTTCTTCTCAATTTGTATGCTCTGTTTGCAATTGTCCACTGTTGTCATCATTCTTTGTTAAAATCAGGTCTCTCTTGTAAATGAGTCCCTGAGGCTCAATGGGATTAACCTGTCTAAAGGTTGAATGTGACAAGACAAAACTGAAGCATTAACTTTTGCACGTCCTGATCTATGAACGCTGAGGCGAGAACTTCAGCAGCTCACACAGCAGATTTCACTTAGATTTAAAGTCTGAAGACTCACCCCCATGTGGCGGCTGTTGGTGTCAGGGTCCAGGTAGTGGGGGTTGATGTTGAATGGGACGAGGCCGATGGCAGAGAAGCTTGGGGGGTAGACGATGGGCATGTCGTTGGTGGTGTTAATGCTGATGGTGGCCACGTTGGTGCCAGCACTTGAGCCCATGTAGGGAATACCATCCTGGAAGGGAGGATTTATTTTTATTATTATATATTATAATAATAAAATATTTTATATTTTTTTACTTTTTGAAAGTTTCTTAAAAAACAAATTGTTTTCTGCCCTTGAAAACATAGTTTATTCACCTCCATCACCCTCTTCCTGATCTCTGTAACCACCTTGTTGTCATAAAGACTCTTGAGGAGCCGGAAAGTGTTGCCTCCTCCTACAAGCACACACTTCAGTTAAGCGTCTCCACGACTCTGACCAAACAGAACTGGACCAGGTACAAAAGGGAATGAGGAAAAGATGCAATGGGGAGAACGATAGTTCTCAGACCTCACCTATAAAAATGCCTTCAGCCTTTTGGACTGCGTCGACTGGGTCTGCAGCCTCATGGATGCTGTCCACCTCATAACCTGCAGGCACAAATTCAGCTGTATGTTCAACGCAACCCTGCTCTGTTAGAACATACTTCCACTCATCTTACAACTTCACTGGTCGGGTGTCTTCCATCTTCCTCTTGACCAAACCCCAGAGATTCCCTGTGGCTTTTTCCACAAGAGGCACAGAACTTTGGTCAGTTTAGGCAGGTGCAAAGTCCTGATACAAAAAATACATCCGCATCTCTACAAAGCTCCATGACGTGCTCCAAAAGTTCTTGGTAGGTAGCTGTGCTGACTTTGGACTTGACAAACCCTTGAGGATCAACATCAGCAGAAGACGTGGCTCCCATACAAACGCTTGGATTCTGTTTCTCGCCTCTCTTCCTTCAGAGACTGGGACGCTGATTTCCAAATGAAATGTAAATTTATTTTATCTGAAAAGAGAACTTTGGACCTCTGAGCATCAACCTGGTCCTTTTGTCTTCCGTCCAGGTAAGATGCTAGTGATGTCTCTGGTGCAGGAGTGGCTGGACACAACAAGTGGGACTGTTGTAGTCCAAGTCCTGTATCTGTGTGTGTGTGTGTGTGTGTGTGTGTGTGTGTGTGTGTGTGTGTGTGT